AAATCTAAATATCTATGGCAACACGTGGCGCTAATCCACGGTAAACTGGCTCCCAAGCTCACGGAACCCCGGGGGAACCCTGGTTGAGAAACACTGCTGTAGGCTTCCCTACAACACAGCACAGCCAGGTCCCTGACGTCCACTGTAGTAGCAGCAGCACAGCTTGGTCAAGAACACACCCCCAGCCTGTTGATTGGACAGTGAAGGAGCAGCTGGTTGACCACCAATAATCGTTTGTCAATTTCTTGGCTTACCATGGCTGTTCATAAAACTTCCTGAGACTCTTCGTATGACCAATCAGCAATGCAGGCTGTCTATGACCAGGTTACCAAAAGCCGCGCTGTAGTTCAAACTGCTGCTATCATGCTGCCTCGTAACCCTGGTCTTGTGGGGGTGGGGCTAGTCTCCGCTTGTGACCGCCCCTTTTCCCCACCTATAGTTGTAGGCAGGGGCGGACTGACCGTTTGGAAACTCTGGCACCGCCCGAGGGCCCGGGGTCAGTAGGGGGCCCCATGAGATGCCCCTGGTACCTTTTTCATAGGCTTTTTTGAGTTTGGGTAAGGGCAAAGGGGCCCCATGATCCCCTATTGCCCGGGGGCCCCAGTTGTCAGTCCGCCCCTGGTTGTAGGTTGACTGGATATTTTAATAAGCCATCATTAGCCGCAAGCGCAGCTAAGGGGTGGTCTCCGGGGATGATCATTCCATTGACACCACCCACAAAACCGCCCATTGACGGCACTACACTACCAGTGCATTATGGGAGATGTAGTTCAATACAGTGGAGAGCCCTTCCCTTGCAATCAGAATATGGAAGATTTCTGCCCGCAGTCGTTGGCACTTCTAGGGGCGGACTGACCATTTGGGAACTCGGGCACTGCCTTAAGGCCCGGGGTCAGTAGGGGGCCCCATGAGATGCCCCTGGTACCTTTCATAGGCTTTTTTGGGTGTGGTTTGAGTGTGGGCGAGGACACAGGGGCCCCATGATCCCCTATTGCCCAGGGGGCCCCAGTTGTAAGTCCGCCCCTGGTTGTAGGTTGACTGGATATTCTAATGAAGCGCAGCTAAGGGGCGGTCTCAGGGGAAGATAATTCCATTGACACCACCCACAAAACCACCCATTGACGGCACTTCTGACTACCAGTGCATTATTGAGATGTAGTTCAATACAGTGGAGAGCCCTGCCCTTGCAATCAGAATATGGAAGATTTCTGCCCGCAGGGGGCACTTCTGAGTTGTTTTTTTTTAAAATGGTGTATCAGTCTTGGGGGGGAAAGGGGGTGGTAAATGGGTACAGTCTTGGAAAAGGGAGATTTATTATGGTGAGCAGAATATTGCGGCGGCAATGGAAGTATTCATACTTGGAAGTACTGGAGGTCAGCTGACCCATGTCAATGTGTTGTAGGTAATTAGAAGGGGCGGATGATTTCATGAAATTAATTTCTCTTGCAGGTGATGGTGGATGGCGGCACCTCGGTGGTTATTGCTGGAGGGGAAGCCGGGGAGGAGGAGGAGTCAGAGAAAATTGATGGCCCAGCAGCTGCTTTACCGCAGCTTCAACCGGAGACGTACGACTTACACGCACCCAGGTATGGCGAAACGTTCCGCTCCTCCATCCGCTGTAACTTCATTTTATTCTGACCCTACCAGTCGCTGATGTTCTCGCACATCACCTCTGCATGCAGGTTCTTCATTATCAATGCAGACGGCTCCGGCAGTGAACTTCTGCGCAATCGAGAAGTGGAGGATTATCTGACCTCCTGTTACTGTGACCCGACCACGGCTGTCCTGCGAGAGCCCACCCAGGAGGTGCCAGGTGGGTGGAGCTATACCAGATACCTCGTTTGACCAAATAGCTCACCTGATATGTAGAGCTCCAATGGGGAAAGGTGTTCATAATGTCTACTCTGCCCTTACCCGTATCAAACACCCTGACAACAGCAAGAGCCCTCCCAGGAGGTGCCTGGTGGGCAGGGCCAGGCCAAATATCACATCTGATATATGACAGCCAACACAGAAGGTGATGATCTATCTCTGGGGTATTATATCTGCAAAGGTTCTCAGTTATCCAGGTTGCAGTATATCTAATAGTAGCTGGTCACAGTCAACTGGACCTACTGTGACCCAGCCAATGCTGTCCTGCGAGAGCCCACCCAGGAGGTGCCAGGTGGGTGGGGCTAAATACCTCGTCTGATCAAATAGCTCACCTCATATGTAGAGCTCCAGTGGGGAAAGGTGTTCACAAAGTCTACTCTGCCCTTACCCTTATCAAATACCCTGACGATAGCAAGAGCCCTCCCAGGAGGTGCCTGGTGGGCAGGGCCAGGCCAAATATCACATCTAATGTGTAGATCACTGGGAAAGGTTGGGGAATCCCATTGGCTCATGTATGGCTGTTGTAAAGCTCCTCCCACAGTTGACAGTTTGGGGAGTTCGGTGACGGCCAACACAGAAGGGGTTGATCTATCTCTGGGGTATTATGTCTGCAAAGGCTCTCAGTTATCCAGGTTGTGCTATATCTACTAGTAGTTGGTCACATTGAACTGGACCTACTGTGACCCGGCCATGGCTGTCCTGCGAGAGCCCACCCAGGAGGTACCAGGTGGGCAGGGTCAGGCCAAATATCACATCAAATATGCAGATAACTGGGAAAGGTTGGGGAATCCCATTGTCTCATGTATGGCTGTTGTAAAGCTCCTCCCACAGTTGACAGTTTGGGGTGTTTGGTGGCAGCCAACACAGAAGGCGTTGATCTATCTCTGGGGTATTATGTCTGCAAAGGCTCTCAGTTATCCAGGTCGCAGTATATCTAATAGTAGCTGGTCACAGTCAACTGGACCTACTGTGACCCGGCCACGGTTGTCCTGCGAGAGCCCACCCAGGAGGTGCCAGGTGGGTGGGGCTATAACAAATACCTTATCTGATCAAATAGCTCATCTGATATGTAGAGCCCCAGTGGGGAACGGTGTTCCTAAAGTCTACTGTGCCCATACCCTTATCAAATACCTTGACAATAGCAAGAGCGCTCCCAGGAGGTGCCAGGTGGGCAGGACCAGGCCAAATATCACATCTGATATGCAGTTCACTGGAAAAGGTTGGGGAATCCCATTGCCTCATGTATGACTGTTGTAAAGCTCCTCCCACAGTTGACAGTTTGAGGACTTCGGTGACGGCCAACACAGAAGGTGTTGATATATCTCTGGGGTTTTATGCCTGCAAAGGCTCTCAGTTATCCAGGTCACAGTATATCTAATAGTAGCTGATCCAGGGGCGGACTGACAACTCATGGGGCCCCCGGGCAATAGGGGATCATGGGGCTCCTGCGTCCTTGCCCAAACTCCAAAAAGCCCATAAAAAAAGGTACCAGGGGCATCTCATGGGGCCCCCTACTGACCCTGGGCCCTCGGGCAGTGCCCGAGTTTCCAAATGGTCAGTCCGCCCCTGAGCTGATCACATTCAATTGGACCTACTGTGACCCGTCCAATGCTGTCCTGCGAGAGCCCACCCAGGAGGCTTTGAACTATCTCTGGGGTATTATGTCTGCAAAGGCTCTCAGTTATCCAGGTCACGGTATATCTTATAGTAGCTGGTCACATTCAACTGGACATGTTCTGAAACGTTGAAGACATTTTGTAGCTTCTTCAAGACCCTTCTTCAGTTCTCATGAGTGTCAGGAACATACCCCAGCATGGGGTATTGATGATGATGTTGTTCGTCCATTGTGTTCAAAGAGGACCTTGACATCTAACAGGTCCACGGTGTGTCCGTAGGTGGCTGATAAGGCCTATATGGGCGCAAAATGTTCTGCCACATGTCAGGCAGACATATGTGGGCACCACTGTTGCAGCATTTGCAGCTCTGGCCTTGTGGAGTGCTCACTTCTCTTGTGCTATGGTTGTTCTTCTCTCCTCAAATGTTTGGCAGCCTTGGTGGATCAACGTGCGCCATGTCAATAGATCTTGTGCCAGGGTTTCCCAGGAGGTGATGTCAATATCCAGGAACTTGTAGGAGGCTTTCAATGTGTCTTCCTTTGTCCCCCGTGCGATCGCTTTCCTTGAGACAGCTCATCGTAGAGGAGATGTTTAGGGGTGCGGTGGTCTGGCATCCTTGCAGCATGTCTGGGCTTTCATCAGCAGGGTGTGAACTGATGGCAGGCCTGCTCTGGAGAGGACCTCTGGGGTATTAGGTACTCTATCGTTCAACATGTGGGAGTTTAAGGAATATTGTGTATATTTGCTACCATTTGATTGTAACAAAAACTTTCTTGGTTCTCAGGTGTTCAGACCATCACAGTCCTACAGCCATTCTCACAGACCTCCCCATGGATGATGAAGAAAGAGTTAAACAACATTGTACCCCCCAACCTTCTCTCCAGAAAGTGGGACACCTTCCCGTCCTCCGAGGTATGTGTAGAATTATCAGATGGGGATCGTTGCTCTCTATGGATCCCGCTCAATCAGTCCCGGGACAGGCTTGTTCAATGCCCGGGGCAAGGATGGGGAAGTGTACCCCCTGCCACCATCCTAATACATACAGTAGATGGGGTGTACTACCCTGTGCCCATTCTCAGCCCCTTTTGCACCAGCTGTCCATGTTTGCCATGGAGTGTTCATTACACGTTCAGCCAACTGCTTGCTTTCTAGCAAATAGAAGGTAGTTGCATATGCCCGGTGTAGATGGGGTTGAGAGTGGACGATTGGCGCTTGTGTGTCATCAGTAGCTGTCAGAGTAGACATGAATGTCTGCCCTGCAGGTTGCTAGCCACTGATCTGGGGTATGCGTGTGGTGAAGAGGCACTCTCCCTACCACTGTGTCCTGGGTGGCTTTCCCTCCTGCCCACCCCTTGTACCAGCCCTACACTCATTGACTGCTGTTTGTTCTCAGCGGAAGACTCCTGGACCTCCACTAGGGATTGGCGTATGGAAAGGCCTCCGCATTGGTGACAGAGAGGCGACGAGAGTCCGGCCTCCGATACTCAAGTGCCCCGAAATCCTGAGGATCCGTCAGCTCCGCCAGTATGAACCAGTCAACATGGAGGTGCGGGAAAAGCTGGAGCTATCACTGAAGGTAACTAATGTCAGGAAGAATCATCCCTGAACTTAATCTGTGCTCTTATAGAATAGGGGGTTCAGGTGAGGGACTACAGGGGGGGCCAGGCGTCAGATACTGAACAGGATCCTCTGGCCAGGACTGTGCATGATATCCAGGACTGACACAGCCTTTGAGTAGCAATGTGGAGGGAGAAACATAGGGAGATACTTATTTGTGAAGCAGGAATTCAGATTCTGGTTGTGGCATTGTAAGTCAACCATGATTCTGCCTTGAGACATAACGTAGGTGTAAACTCAACCACTAAAATCTCACGTAATCTCTACCATGTTCATGTCAATTAAGATAATCTCTGGTGATCCTGCCATGAAAGTCCTAGTTCTGGCACTTCCTGTTATAGGGTGGCAATGCTGTGTCCCTGTCTCCCGATTGTTTTCTTGCATGGCCACCCTGTTACATGGGCCATCAGTGGAGACCACAGGAGGCCTTCCTAACACACATTGTGCAGGCATGGTCCACTGTTGTCACCATCAGGAAGCCAGTCTGGAGGGACTTTGTGCAGCAGATCCTGGAGCTACTGCATGTGGACAGGATGTGGCTGAAAGAGGATGCAGGAAATCAGCAGCACTGAGATACAAAAAAAAACCCCCAAAAATTACTTTATTTAGTAGATCGATAGACAGACTGACTGATAGATACCTTTCACAAGAGTGTTCTCTTTAAATTCTAAATTCCTAATGAATATGAAATATAGAACAAACACTTATACATATAAACAGCAGACAGACATCTTGGTGGTACGTACATGCGGAGCCATTCCTAGCTGTCTGGAGGTGAGCGCTGCTCTGCGAAGGCTCCCCATGAAGCTGGGTGAGAACTGTCCACCAGCCTCTGAGAGCACAGCACCTACACAATATGGACAATGCTTTGTTCTCTTTTGTCCCCAGCGGTACATCAATAAAGTTCTGAAGAAGGAAGAAGAGTTAGAAGAACTAACTATCAAGGAGCCCAGGACAGAAGAGGAGAAGGGCAAAGCAGCTGATCTATTGATGCTGGTCTTGGTAAGGGGTGGAGAGAGATGATGGTCACTGGGCAAACAGAAGAAGGTAGTAAGAGGAGGCCCCCTCCTACACAAATCCCCCCATTCATCCCTACTAGCACAAATCCTCCCGCCCCCAAATCCCCCTTCCTAACAGAAATTTACTCTCCTAGTAAATATCCCCCCCTCCAAATCAACCCTTCTAGCACAGCCCCCCCCCCCCCAAATCTCCACCCTGCCCAAGGCATCTTCCCTTGTCTGGCCCTGGTCACAGTTACCTTGCACTAGCCCTGGTACCAGGCTGGGATTGAGTGGTGGATGGAGTGGGGAAATGGGCAATGGGATGTACAAAGTAAAGAGGTGATGGAGGAGGGGTATGGTGAAGAGGTAGTAGGAGGGGGGGTCACAATTACTTTGTGTCGTTGTTGATACCGTTGGCTGGGATTGGGTGATGGTGGGAGGACGTGAAGGGCATTGAGATCGAGAATGGGTGTATGAAGGAGAAGGGGCTGGAGAAGAGAAAAACTGAGAAGAAGATAGAGAGAGGAGGTCACGGTTACTTTGTGCTGATCCTGGTACCAAGCTTGCGTTGGGTGATGGATAGAGAGAGGAATGGGCATTGGGATGTACAAAGTAAAGAGGTGATGGAGGAGGGGCAAGTTGAAGAGGTAGTGGGAGGGGGGGGTCACAATTACTTTGTGTTGGTCTTGATACTGGGCTGGGATTGGGTGGGGGTGGGAGGAGATGAAGGGCATTGAGATAGAGAATGGGTGCATGAAGGAGAAGGTGCTGGAGAACAGAAAAACTGAGAAAAAGATAGAGAGAGGAGGTCACGGTTACTTTGTGCTGTCCTGGTACCAAGCTGGCATTGGGTGAGGGGTGGCGGGAGGAAATGGGCATTGGGATGTACAAAGTAAAGAGGTGATGGAGAAGGGGTAGGGTGAAGAGGTAGTGGAAGGAGGGTCACAATTACTTTGTGTTGGTCTTGATACCGGGCTGGGATTGGGTGATGGTGGGAAGACATGAGGGGCATTTAGGTAGAGAATGGGTGCATGAAGGAGAAGGTGCTGGAGAACAGAAAAACTGAGAAGAAGATAGTGAGAGGAGGTCACGGTTACTTAGTGCTGGTCCTGGTACCAAGCTGGCATTGGGTGAGGGGTGCCGGGGGGGGGGAATAGACACTGAGGTAGAGCAGGGCCGTAGATAATTATTTTTCCTAGGGGGTGCTCAATTCTGTCAAACTGCAAGAGTGACATAATATGGCACTTCTTGCACGTGCTCAGTAGGGTTGGCTTTGGGGGTGTTTTCTTAAAGCTATGGGCCTGCGTGCAAAATTGTAAGTCTCTTGGCTTAGAAAAACGAAGTGTAGCGTGCTGTACGCGTCACGCGGTGAATATTTGGCGTGGTCCTCATGGTGCTCAGCATTGGCCGTGACTTACAGGGACACAGAGTTCAGGGGTCAGTAGTAAGTCAGGCAGAGGACAAAAATTGGTGTCAAGTGTGGGGAGACAAGGGGCCTTAGTACTCAGTGAGGGGAGGGGGGCATTGGTACTACTTGGGGGGACATTAGAAATAAATGTGGAGAGAGAGAAGCCATTGGTGCTAATTGGGGGAAGAGGAGGGATTATGCTGGGTCGGGAAAGGGGGAACATTGGGGATAAGTGAGGAGAGATGGGGGGCGAATGGTGCTAAGTGGGGGGAGGGGAGGTATTGGTGCCAAGTGGGGGGTGGTGATGCTCTGTGGTACTGACTGTACTGTGCATGCTGAGTGCCACATAACATGGTGCACTTTGGTGTCCCAGATTACTTGATCAGGTTGGGGAGGTCCTGAAGATGCCCATTACAGGCAAGGTACAGCAATACATCTGTCGAATGGCAGTGAAGCAGAGCTCTGAGCAGCATGCTGCATGGACTAGAAGCTGCTCAGCGTCTGAGGACTAGTAGCCAATAGGAAGCCAGGAAAGTGTGTGCAGACTTTGCACCTCCGGAGATGATTAGTGGCCGCAGAGCACAGGGCTAGGGCAGGTTGTGATAGGACATAGCTCAGAACAGCAACCACGCAGATGGAAATACCACCAACGCGCCCTCTCCTCTGATATCATGGAGGGTTTTGCATGCCACCAGGAGAGTGCTGTCACTCATAAACACAGAATCTGGGCTTCTCTGTTTATAAGTGACAGAAGTGAGCAGCAGAGCGAGGGTCCAGCGCCAGAGGTTCCAGCTGAAAAATAGCCCTGACCATGGACCTTCCCGCGCCGTCTCTGTGCACTGTTAAAAAAATCTGTACAGCAGCACTTTGCACATGGACAGGATGCTTTGGGGGGTTTGAACCCCCCTGAATCCCCCCTTATCTACGCCCCTGGGTTAGAGAATTATTATATGAAGTTAGAAGTGGTGTTACCATGTGTTTGTCTTTGTACCGGGCTAGGTTTATGGGTGGGGAGTTGGGTGAAGATGAGGGTAGGGATGGTGCAGGAAAGGCAAGCTGACAAAGAGTTAAGGAGGGGAGATCAGTCATTTCGTCCTGGTACCTGTCTGGGTTTGGATGGGGAATGGACAGGTGGTAGGCTCTGGGGTTGTATGGAAGTAGTTGTGGTGCAGGAGAGGCAAATTGAGAAAGAGGTAGTGAAAGGTGTTTACTGTTACCTTGTGCTCATTGTAGGCTGGGATTGGGTAAGGAGTGCCTCAATGGTGGTGAAGAATGGGCATATGAAAGAAGAGGTGGCCGTGGCGATTAAACGGTGACAAAATTGCTTAAAGAAGCAGATAGCTTGTGATGGACTTGTAGCAGGTCTTCTCTAAGAAGAAGCATACATGGATCCAAACATTCATGACTCCTGTGATGCCGATAAGACCCCTAATGTTGATAGTTCATGAATTAAGAACTGTTCTCATCTATGTTTGTGTCAAATATAACACAAAGGTGCTCAGAGATTTAGGAAAAAATGAACGAGTTTTACTTTTGAATTTGCCACAAATGTTGAGGGACACAAACTAAAGAGAGTTATTACATTTTGGAAATATTGATATATGGTGCTGTCCCTTTAATCCCGACTGCCATAGACACTGGAGTCTGGATTTGTAAGATTCCAAAACATAATTGTGTCCTGTGTCCGAGCTGTCACCCCCCTGATCTGCATTTCTTGTAGGTCGTCCTGATTGGTAAAGAGTTGTACCTGTGGTTGGTGGTTCAGAGACTTGTATGGGAGGATCTGTGGAGGGGATAGGTCATGTAAAGGGGGTCATCAAGGAATTGAAATGTGTCAAATCTTTTCCAGATCACCTTTATGTTTTTCCTTATCATCTTAGAGTTGTACTGTGGTTGGTGGTTCGAAGACTTGTATGGGAGGATCTGATGGAGGAGATGGGTCATGTAAAAGGGTCATCAAGGGATTGAAATGTGTCGAATCTTCTCCAGATCACCTTTTAATGTTTTTCCTTTTCATCTGAGAGATGTACTTGAGGGTTGATGGATCTGAGACTTGTATGGGAGGATCTAATGGAGAAGATGGGTTATGTAAAGGGGGTCATCAAGGGATTGAAATGTGTCGAATCTTCTCCAGATCACCTTTATTGTTTTTCCTTTTCACCTCAGAGATGTACCTTTGGTTGGTGGATCGGAGACTTATATGGGAGGATCTGGTGGAGGGGATAGGTCATGTAAAGGGGGTCATCAAGGAATTGAAATGTGTTGAATCTTCTCTAGATCACCATTAATGTTTTTTCTTTATCATCTGAGCGTTGTACCTGTGGTTGGTGGTTCAAAGACTTGTATGGGAGGATCTGATGGAGGAGATAGGTCATGGAAAGGGGTCATCAAGGGATTGAAATATGTCGAATCTTCTCCAGATCACCTTTAATGTTTTTCCTTTTCACCTGAGAGATGTACTTGAGGGTTGATGGATCTGAGATTTGTATGGGAGGATCTAATGGAGAAGATGGGTCATGTAAAGGGGTCATCAAGGGATTGAAATGTGTTGAAACTTCTTTTGATCCCCTTAATGTTTTTCCTTATTAACTTAGAGTTGTACCTTTGGTTGGTGGATTGGAGACTGGTATGGGAGGATCTGATGGAGGAGATGGGTCATGTGAAGGGATCATCAAGGGACTGAAATGTGTAGAATCTTCTCCAGATCACCTTTAATGTTTTTTACCTTATCATCTGAGAGTTGTACCTTTGGGTTGATGGATGGGAGACTTGTATGGGAGGATCTTGTGGAGGAGATGGGTCATGTAAAGGGGGTCATCAAAGAATTGAAATGTGTTAAATCTTCTCTAGATCACCTTTAATGTTTTTCCTTTTCATCTGAGAGATGTACTTGAAGGTTGATGGATCGGTGACTTGTATGGGAGGATCTGATGGAGGAGATAGGTCATGTAAAGAGGTCATCAAGGGATTGAAATGTGTCGAATCTTCTCTAGATCACCTTTAATGTTTTTCCTTACCATCTGAGAGTTGTACCTTTGGTCGGTGGATCGGAGACTGGTATGGGAGGAACTGGAGGAGGAGATAGGTCATGAAAAGGCGTCATCAAGGGATTGAAATATGTTGAATCTTCTCCAGATCACCTTTTAATGTTTTTCCTTATCATCTGAGCGTTGTACCTGTGGGTTGATGGATGGGAGACTTGTATGGTAGGATCTCATGGAGGAGATAGGTCATGTAAGGGGGTCATCAAGGGACTGAAATGTTCTCTAGATCACCTTTAATATCTCTTCCTTAACAGTCACTGCCCGAGTCCCGGGAACCCCCACCAGCTCCCAGCCTGGAGCTCATCCATGGTAAGAATATTTGATTTACTCTTGATATTGCTGTATAATGCTTTTATTGCTTTGGTGTTAGAGGAGTGCTCTAGTTAAAGGCCTGACTCTGGGGGGCTTTGAGTCTAGCCTGGACCCCTGAGGGAACCGAGAACGGATCGAGGAACCCTCGAGATATTGCTTGCCTTGAGAGTTTGCCACCTTGTTTCGAAAGGTGCTGGGTCATTCGCTCAGCAGTTCAGCACCCCCCATCCGAGTGCCCATCCTCTAACTTTATATTGCGATTAAAGGTTGAAAAGATTGAAAGCTGTGGTGTCGAGTCACTCCTGGAAGGGGGGAGCATGGGGAGCTGAGCTACAGAATCAGTGCTTGAAAGGGGTAGCAGGGAGGAGCTGAACTATTGTGTCACTGCTGGGAGAGGGAGCAAGAAGAGGTGTACATCTGAGCCATTGCTGGGAAAGAGTGCAGGGTGAGCTGAGCTGCTGAGTCACTGTTGGAATGAGGAAAGGTAGGAGCAGGGAGAGCTGAGCTGCTGAGTCACTGCTTGGAAGGGGTAACAATGGGAGCTGAGCTATTGGGTCACTGGTGGGTGGGGGAGCAGGAGGAGCTGTGCACTTGAGTCAAGACTGGGAGAGGGTGCAGGGTGAGCTGAGCCGCTGAGTTACTACTGGAATGAGGAGTGGTAGGGTAGTAAGAGGAGCTGAGCTATTGGGTAACTACTGGGAGGGGTAGTAAGAGGAGCTGAGCTATTGGGTAACTACTGGGAGGGGTAGTAAGAGGATCTGAGCTATTGGGTAACTACTGGGAGGGGTAGTAAGAGGAGCTGAGCTATTGGGTCACTACTGGGAGGGGTAGTAAGAGGAGCTGAGCTATTGGGTAACTACTGGGAGGGGTAGTAAGGGGAGCTGAGCTACTGGGTAACTACTAGGAGGGGTAGTAAGAGGAGCTGAGCTATTGGGTAACTACTGGGAGGGGTAGTAAGGGGAGCTGAGCTACATGGTAACTACTGAGAGGGGTAGTAACAGGAGCTGAGCTATTGGGTCACTACTGGGAGGGGTAGTAAGAGGAGCTGAGCTATTGGGTCACTACTGGGAGGGGTAGTAAGAGGAGCTGAGCTATTGGGTCACTACTGGGAGGGGTAGTAAGAGGAGCTGAGCTATTGGGTCACTACTGGGAGGGGTAGTAACAGGAGCTGAGCTATTGGGTAACTACTGGGAGGGGTAGTAAGAGGAGCTGAGCTATTGGGTCACTACTGGGAGGGGTAGTAACAGGAGCTGAGCTATTGGGTAACTACTGGGAGGGGTAGTAAGAGGATCTCAGCTATTGGGTCACTACTGGGAGGGGTTGTAAGAGGAGCTGAGCTATTGGGTAACTACTGGAAGGGGTAGTAAGGGGAGCTGAGCTATTTGGTAACTACTGGGAGGGGTAGTAACAGGAGCTGAGCTATTGGGTAACTACTGGGAGGGGTAGTAAGAGGATCTCAGCTATTGGGTCACTACTGGGAGGGGTAGTAAGAGGAGCTGAGCTATTGGGTCACTACTGGGAGGGGTAGTAAGAGGAGCTGAGCTATTGGGTAACTTCTGGGAGGGGTAGTAAGAGGAGCTGAGCTATTGGGTCACTACTGGGAGGGGTAGTAAGAGGAGCTGAGCTATTGGGTCACTACTGGGAGGGGTAGTAAAGGGAGCTGAGCTATTGGGTCACTACTGGGAGGGGTAGTAAGGGGAGCTGAGCTGCTGAGTCAATGCTATGAGGGGTAAAGCTGAGCTGCTGAGTCATTGTTGGGAGGGGAAAGCAGGGGAAGCTCAGCTACTAAGAGACCCAACCTGACAAACCTCTGTGCTTCTGCTGGCAAATTTTAGGATGAATTACTGCACAATGTCTGCAGCTATAGGGGTTAGTGGGGGAACTTGTTCTAAAGCTCGTTTACTTATAAGAAGGATATTCGTATAAGAATGTACAGTACATCGATGCATTTCTTGTTTCCAGGAGATATCACCAGTCTGTATGAGAACGCTGTGTCTCTGCCACCACCCCCTCCCCCGCCAATGGCCAAACCGCAGCGGAGCGTACAGGACTGGGATGAACTCAGGTAACAGTCTTGGAGTCTCATTTTTACTGTCATTAATAGAGCCCATTACAGTGATACTATTGGATTAACATTGTCTTATTTATTGGCGTTTTCTCGGGCATACCTGCACATAGCATGTATGTCCGCAAGCCAAAGTCCTTGGCGTCATTCTTGACGCGAACCTCTCCCTCCAACCGCATGTCAAATCACTCACAAACACATGCAGGCTCCATCTTCGCAACATTGCCAAGATCCGCTCCTTCCTCACCCCAGACACAACCAAACTTCTAGTACACTCCCTCATCATCTCACGCCTTGACTACTGCAACTCCCTCCTCACTGGCCTACCCAAGTGCAGGCTCTCCCCGCTCCAGACCATCCTGAACTCAGCTGCCAGACTCATCCACCTCACCACCCGCTCCACCTCTGCCACCCCCCTCTGCCTCTCCCTCCACAGGCTCCCGATTGCCCAACGCATCAAATTTAAACTCCTAACCCTGACCTACAAAGCCGTTCACAACACTGCCCCTGACTACCTCACCAATCTGATCACCAGGTACCACCCTACCCGTACCCTTCGCTCCTCACAGGACCTCCTTCTATCCTGCTCCCTGGTCTCCTCCTCCCATGCACGACTGCAGGACTTCTCCAGGTCCTCCCCCATCCTCTGGAACTCACTGCCCCAATCCATCAGACTGTCGCCTTCTCTATTCACATTCAGGCGCTCCCTCAAAACCCATCTCTTCAGGGAAGCCTACCCCACCCTCACCTAACGGCCATCCTCCCTCATTCCTCCCACCACTTCATCCCCCCCAGCCACTTCCTACTGTACCTTTACCCCCTCCCTCCTAGATTGTAAGCTCGTAAGAGTAGGGCCCTCTTACCCCTCGTACGCTGTCTGTCTTCGTTGTACTGTGCCATGTATTGTCCCCCCCTATTGTACAGCGCTGAGCAAACCCTTTGGCGCTATATAAACTCGTAGTAATAATAATAATAATAATAGCATGCCGGGTTCATGCAGGCAGGAGGAAGCATTCCTCCCCTCCCCCACTGATCAGTCTGTACACCAGTGGCGTCCCGATGCAGCTGCGGGGGGTGCGCGCCGCACACGGGTGACACCAGACCCGCTCCACAAAAAGATTGTCGGCTTGCTTTACAACTTACCTTTTCGTGGAGCGGGTCCGGTGTCACCCCGCATAGGTTGCATGCTGACGATCCCCCCAGGATGGATCCGATCTGAGGATTGGGGAGCATAATGGATCGAACTCCGATCCATTATGCTCAATCCGCAGATCCGATCCATCCTGCGGGGATCGTCGGAGGGGGTGTCACCAAGTATTATCGCACCGGGTGACACCAACCCTAGGGACGCCCCTGCTGTACACTGTACCTTTGTAACAAGAGGCTGGGGCAGGGGCTGATCTGTGTCAAACATTTGTAAACAAAACCTACACGGGGATTAGAATTTACATGATTGTGTCATCTCTGAGCTGGCACTTCAGCCCGGGAAGTAGATGGTGACCCTGGATGATGCTTGAATAAAGATGGTGCTGTCCTGTAATCATCCCTATAAAAGATATATACCTGTTCTCGGTCAGTGTAGGAGAGGGGTGCACAGTGCCAGGATGAGGTCCTTCAGCACCAAATTTGAAAAGGTCAAAGTGCCCCCCCTATTAAATGTGAGCTACTTTAGCAGTATAGGTTGCAGGCCCTCTCTCCTGCTGAAGCGCCCAAGGCGGCCACCCCTCCTACCTACCCTTCACCCCGGCCCTGAGGACACATCTATAGGTCGTCTGGAATGATAGAGATCCTTAGACATTCCTGAGCTAATGATAGCGTCCCCAACACCACAATAATGAAATCTGTGCCTGCGACTGTACACATCTGTGCCCCAGAATCCCTCTCTTCACACATGGCTGCCATCTGAGGGAACTTGTCACAACTTGGATGATTCCCTGTGTGAGCCTGCCAGACACTGACATATAAGTTGTGTATTGATGATACCTGGGGGGGGAGGGGGATTTATTAGATCTTGAATACTGAAAATCAGAATAGAGCCTGTTTCTGCTGAGTAAAAATCCATTCCTGGCTGTGGATGATGTTTATATTTTCCATACAAAGCTGAATCCTGGAGCAGAAACACTAATCTGATGAACAGACACAGACTGAACGTCCAGCAGTCTAGTTAATCTTTATTGATTCAGGCAGGTGTGCAGAGCAGAGATCCGAGCTGCAATACTAGGTATTGACCAGCAGATACCAAAGGCTTAAAGTGTTACTAGACCCAGGACCCTTCAATCACTATATCCGCTCTCCCCGGACCCCGCATTCACTGTATCCGCTCTCCCCGGACCCCGCATTCATTATATCCGCTCTCCCCGGACCCCGCATTCACTATATCCGCTCTCCCCGGACCCCGCATTCACTATATCCGCTCTCCCCCGGACCCCGCATTCACTATATCTCCTCTCCCCGGACCCCGCATTCACTATATCCGCTCTCCCTGGACCCCGCATTCACTATATCCGCTCTCCCCGGACCCCGCATTCACTATATCCCCTCTCCCCGGACCCCGCATTCACTATATCCGCTCTCCCCGGACCCGGCATTCACTGTATCCGCTCTCCCCGGACCCCTCATTCACTATATCCGCTCTCCCCGGACCCGGCATTCACTGTATCCGCTCTCCCCGGACCCCGCATTCACTATATCCGCTCTCCCCGGACCCCGCATTCACTATATCCGCTCTCCCCGGACCCTGCGTTCACTATATCCGCTCTCTCCGGACCCCGCATTCACTATATCCCCTCTCCCCGGACCCCGCATTCACTATATCCGCTCTCCCCCGGACCCCGCGTTCACTATATCCGCTCTTCCCGGACCCCGCGTTCACTATATCCGCTCTTCCTGGACCCCGCGTTCACTATATCCGCTCTCCCCGGGACCCTGCGTTCACTATATCCGTTCTCCCCGGACCCTGCATTCACTATATCCCCTCTCCCCGGACCCCGCATTCACTATATCCCCTCTCCCCGGACCCCGCATTCACTATATCCGCTCTCCCCGGACCCCGCATTCACTATATCCGCTCTCCCCGGACCCTGCGTTCACTATATCCGCTCTCTCCCGGACCCCGCATTCACTATATCCCCTCTCCCCGGACCCCGCATTCACTATATCCGCTCTCCCCGGACCCCGCGTTCACTATATCCGCTCTTCCCGGACCCTGCGTTCACTATATCCGTTCTCCCCGGACCCTGCATTCACTATATCCCCTCTCCCCGGACCCCGCATTCACTATTATCCCTCTCCCCGGACCCCGCATTTACTATATCCGCTCTCCCCCGGACCCCGCATTCACTATATCCGCTCTCCCCGCATTCACTATATATCTGCTCCCCCGGACCCCGCATTCACTATATCCGCTCTCCCCGGACCCCGCATTCACTACCGCTCTCCGGACCCCGCATTCACTATATCCGCTCTCCCCGGACCCTGCGTTCACTATATCCGCTCTCCCCGGACCCCGCATTCACTATATCCGCTCTCCCCGGACCCCGCATTCACTATATCCGCTCTCCCCGGACCCTGCGTTCACTATATCCGTTCTCCCCGGACCCTGCATTCACTATATCCGGTTGTCGTCTGGTTGTGTCTTTATGGAATGATAGAGATCCTTAGACGTTGTTGCGCACAGTGGACACAGGAACATTAAGATCTCTGGAGATGGACTTGTCACCTTGAGACGGTCCGTGCTTTTCCACCATTTTTGTTCTCCAATCCTCAGACAATTCTTTGCTGCTCTTCCTCTCCTCCATGCTCCATGTGGCCCACAGAGACACACAACAGAAAGGTGGAGGCCATTTGTCACCATTGTCCCCGGTTGTCGGTGGGATTTCTATGTTGTCAGCTCCTGGTCATGGACACGGGGAGTCTAATGACAAATTACAGGAGAATCACAAACTTGGAATGCAATTATTTCTTACAATTTTCAGAAGGTGCCAATAATTTTGTCCGGTCCATTTTTGGGGTTTTGCGTGGAATGGGTCAGATTTGGTTTTTTGTTTCTTTACTTTTTTGTGTCACCGATACAAACCAAAGAAATAAACTCCAAAACATTTGTCATTGCAACAATTTTCAACAGAAAAGCAGCGGTGTCAAGATTTGTACCCATGACTGTACCCATGACTGTACCCATGACTGTACCCATGACTGTACCCATGACTGTACCCATGACTGTACCCATGGTACGGGTAGTGTTGCTTGAGTAATTTGGCAATAACCCGAACACTATTGAAGTCAGAGGGAATTCAGGGGGGCTATTTGGCAGTTTGGAAACCTTGTTTGGGGGCTTCTATGGGGTCTGCAGCCATGATGGCACTTTTATAGGGGTGGGCCTTCAGAAATCAACGCCTTGACCAATCAGTGGCTTTATTGTGAATGTGGCGGCTAATCAGAGGCTTTGTGTACTTTAGAAGGTCCTACCCTTAGAGTAAACTGAATCAAAGGAGCCCGTTGGCTTCATTGTGGATGCCGCCAAAGTGGCATTTGGGGGAGGTAATTGCTCCCACCCTCTGATCGCAGCAATCCCCATAGCAGTGACATTATACATCACAAACAGGTCCTGGGACCCCTCTAGTCATGTACAGTTGTGTTCAAAATAATAGCCGTCAGACATCACTAACCGGATCAATCTCTGTTTTTTGGTGGAAATGATATTTCTACATGGCAGATAATTTCCTAGCAGGTGTAGTAGAGTCATAGAAATCCAACAGACCCGACAGTCATGACATGCATGCTGCTGATTCTGTGTAATTGAATCACTCATTGAAAGGGGCGTGTTCAATATAATAGCCGTGTGGAGTTCTATTAGTGAGGTCATTCATTCTTTGAAAAACAGGTGGCAATTATTGCCCTTATTTAAGGAAGGAAGGCAGCAAATGTTGGACATGCTGGTTACAGTGCATTTCATTCTGAAATTCTGAGGAAAATGGGTCGTTCCAGACATTGTTCAGAAGAACAGCGTACCTTGATTAAAAAGTTGATTGGAGAGGGGAAAACATATAAAGAAGTGCAGAAAATGATCGGCTGCTCAGCTAAAATGATGGCAAATGCTTTAAAATTGGCAACCAAAACCTGAAAGACGTGGAAGAAAGCGAAAAAACTACCATTGGAATGGATAGAAGAATAGCCAACATGGGGCAGACTCAGCCAACAATCAGCTCCAGGAAGATGAAAGAAGGTGTGACGTTCCCTGTGAGGACTCAGCCAACAATCAGCTCCAGGAAGATGAAAGAAGGTGTGACGTTCCCTGTGAGGACTGTTACAATTAGAAGACCCCGATGTGAAGCCAAGCTATCTGCAAGAAGTCCCCGCAAAGTCCCACTGTTGGGAAAAAGACGTGTGCTGAAGAGGTTACAATCTGCCAAAGAGCACATTGACCGGCCTAAAGAGAAATGACGCAACATTTTGTGGGCTGATGGAAGTAAGATTGTTCTTTTTGGGTCTAGTGGGCGGAGACAGTTTGTCAGACGACCCCCAAACACTGAATTCAAGCCACAGTACACTGTGAAGACCGTGAAGCATGGTGGTGCAAGCATCATGATATGGGGATGTTTCTCATACTACGGTGTTGGGCCTATTTATCGCATACCAGGGATCATGGATCAGTTTGAATCCATCAGAATACTTGAAGAGGTCATGCTGCCTTATGCTGAAGAGGAAATGCCCTTGAAATGGGGGTTCCAACAAGACAACGACCCCAAACACACCAGTAAACGTGCAACATCTTGGTTCCAGACCAACAAGATGGACGTTATGGAGTGGCCAGCCCAATCCCCGGATCTTCATCCAATAGAAAAACTTGTGGGGTGACATCAAAAATGCCGTTTCTGAGGCCAAACCAAGAAATAGAGAAGAACTGTGGAATGTGGTCCAATCATCCTGGGCTGGAATACCTGATCACAGGGGCCAGAAGTTGGGTTACTCCATGCAACACAGATGTACAGCAGTTCTCAGAAACAGTGCGACTACAACCAAATATTCATGAAGTCATTCAAAGGAAAGCAAAATCTTCAAACATTTCTCAGTTTATATAGTGAATGTTGGAGTTTGTAAAGAAGAATACAAACACTGCGATTTTTTTTGAACCGTCTAATATTCACTTTTCTTCCATTTTTTTAGAGGAACAACACAAATTTGATGTATTTTTCTTCATGTTGTGATTTGGAATAGAATGTGTCGTGTTTCCCAATGCATTTGTGTGTGGATTGGAAATAAAAGGATTAGAAGGATTTGCAGCTTTAGTCACTTTTTTCAACACACTGCTATTATTTTGAACACAACTGTATATCAACAGTGTAAACAAATCACTACACCCAAGAAACATCAGGTAAAACATTTTTATTAAATACTCACCACCAGAGGGTACTGGGGACCTCTCTGGTGTTTCAAAAAATAATGTATTTAAAACTTGGATGCAACTGTCTGAGATCATTGCTGTCTCTTGTTATGTTCCTGACCCAGGTGCCGCCATATTGGTTATAAAAACTTTAAAATGGGGTTTTTTTTAACAACAATGGGGGGGGGGTTCCAGTGGGCCAAGGGCCCTCACCCTGTTGCAATTTAGAACCCCCTCCTCTTTCCCCCATTGTGGCTTATTTCTAACCCTGGGCCTGGTTGCCAGGGTTAGGGGTTGGTAAAGGATGGGAAGGTTATGCCCTTGTTGGTGAGGATGGGAAGGTTATGCCCCTGTTGGTGAGGATGGGAAGATTATGCCCTTGTTGGTGAGGATGGGAAGGTTATGCCCTTGTTGGTGAGGATGGAAAGGGTATGCCCCTTGTTGGTGAGGATGGGAAGGTTATGCCCCTGTTGGTAAGGATGGGAAGGTTATGCTCCTTGTTGGTGAGGATGGGAAGGTTATGCCCCTTGTTGGTGAGGATGGGAAGGTTATGCCCCTGTTGGTGAGGATGGGAAGGTTATGCCCCTTGTTGGTGAGGATGGGAAGGTTATGCCCCTTGTTGGTGAGGATGGGAAGGGTATGCCCCTGTTAGTGAGGATGGGAAGGTTATGCCCCTGTTGGTAAGGATGGGAAGGTTATGCCCTTGTTGGTGAGGATGGGAAGGGTTATGCCCTTGTTGGTGAGGATGGGAAGGTTATGCCCCTGTTGGTAAGGATGGGAAGGTTATGCCCCTGTTGGTGAGGATGGGAAGGGTATGCCCTGTTAGTGAGGATGGGAAGGTTATGCCCCTGTTGGTAAGGATGGGAAGGTTATGCCCCTTGTTGGATGAGGATGGGTTGGTAAGGGTATGCCCCTGTTGGTGAGGATGATGGGAAGGTTATGCCCCTGTTGGTGAGGATGGGAAGGTTATGCCCCTTGTTGGTAAGGATGGGAAGGTTATGCCCTTGTTGGTAAGGATGGGAAGGTTATGCCCTTGTTGGTAAGGATGGGAAGGTTATGCCCCTGTTGGTGAGGATGGGAAGGTTATGCCCCTTGTTGGTAAGGATGGGAAGGTTATGCCCCTTGTTGGTAAGGATGGGAAGGTTATGCCCCTTGTTGGTAAGGATGGGAAGGTTATGCCCCTTGTTGGTAAGGATGGGAAGGTTATGCCCCTTGTTGGTGGGGAGGATGGGAAGGTTATGCCCTTGTTGGTGAGGATGGGAAGGTTATGCCCTTGTTGGTAAGGATGGGAAGGTTATGCCCCTTGTTGGTGAGGATGGGAAGGTTATGCCCTTGTTGGTGAGGATGGGAAGGTTATGCCCTGTTGGTAAGGATGGGAAGGTTATGCCCCTGTTATGGGAAGGTTATGCCCCCGTTGGTAAGGATTGGGAAGGTTATGCCCCTTGTTGGTGAGGATGGGAAGGTTATGCCCCTTGTTGGTGAGGATGGGAAGGTTATGCCCCTTGTTGGTAAGGATGGGAAGGTTATGCCCCTTGTTGGTGAGGATGGGAAGGTTATGCTCCTTGTTGGTGAGGATGGGAAGGGTATGCTCCTGTTGGTAAGGATGGGAAGGTTATGCCCCCGTTGGTAAGGATGGGAAGGTTATGCCCCTGTTGGTAAGGATGGGAAGGTTATGCCCTTGGTAGTAAGGATGGGAAGGTTATGCCCCTGTTGGTAAGGATGGGAAGGTTATGCCCTTGTTGGTAAGGATGGGAAGGTTATGCCCTTGTTGGTTGGTAAGGATGGGAAGGGTATGCCCTTGTTGGTAAGGATGGGAAGGTTATGCTCCTGTTGTTAAGGATGGGAAGGTTATGCCCCTGTTGGTTGGTAAGGATGGGAAGGGTATGCCCTTGTTGGTAAGGATGGGAAGGTTATGCCCTTGTTGGTAAGGATGGGAAGGTTATGCCCTTGTTGGTAAGGATGGGAAGGGTATGCCCTTGTTGGTAAGGATGGGAAGGTTATGCCCTTGTTGGTAAGGATGGGAAGGTTATGCCCTTGTTGGTAAGGATGGGAAGGTTATGCTCCAGGAAGATGAAAGAGGGTGTGACGTTCCCTGTGATTATGCCCTTGTTGGTAAGGATGGGAAGGTTATGCCCTTGTTGGTAAGGATGGGAAGGTTATGCCCTTGTTGGTGGAGGATGGGAAGGTTATGCCCTTGTTGGTAGGGATGGGAAGGTTATGCCCCCTGTTGGTAAGGATGGGAACGGTATGCCCCTGTTGGTAAGGATGGGCTTTGAAGATAGTTAAAGGCTCAGAGGTGAAGGGTGGGGGTTCTGAATTCTTCTGAGAGGGCAATCCCAGGAAAGAAAAGACTGACCTCTCAGTATATTGTATCTTCAGGCTGGAGATCCAGGAGAAGACGGATAACCTGGCCGCCATGAGGAACAGAGACATCCCTCCATACTTCCAGTCCGAGGTGGCTCCACAATTCCTCCAGAACCAGGTGAGATCCAGCCATCATGGCCCCTCATACAGTATGGCTGATATACCCCGACCAGCTCTGTGATGGCATTTTATACCATTTATGGACTGATACTCCAAAAACATTATTTGTTTACAGTAAAGCTCCAGTTTTCTTCTCAGTTATAACAGATGTCATTCCAGTCACCAAATCTTATGTAAGATAAAACACACCGTACCAATCTTTCAAAACCAAAGGATCAATCTTTATAAACCTCCAACGTTCATTCAAATGAATCCCCTGTGATCCCGCCATGAAGGTCCTTATTCAGGCACTTCCTGTTATATGGTGACAACTGTCTCTCCCTTGTGCATTGTAAGCCCACCATATGCTGAAATGGTGGAGACTACAAGCCTCTGTGATGACCGGTATGGTCCAGATAGGGCCAGGTAGAGCCTGAGGTGACGGGGGGTGGTCTCTTGCACAGTTCCTGCCCAAGCACCCCCCGGAAGATGAGAGAGGTTCTGCAAGGGTGGTGGAAAGGTGCAGTGACTCTGTGGGCCAAAAATTGAGGGCGCAGGTGAGCAGGAGTACAGCTGAGGATGTGCCAAGTTCAGTTAAAGGTGCGGTTGAGTCCCAAGTCTGGTCTAGTAGCAGCTGAGTGGGAAGGCACCAAGCTGAAGGCAGGATCAGAGTCAGTCAAACGTGGGCTACAAGCCGTCAGTGAGGTACGAAATTTCCAGGCGGGGAGCATTGTCAGTAATCCAGGCCAAGGTCTCAAACATTAGCAGGCAAGAGTAGTCTGAAAACAGGTCACAAAGAATCCGGGTCAATCGCAGAATCGGAAAAAGTATCGGGATCAAGAACATAGGAACAAGACTAGAGACCATTCAGCAAAGAGCTTGTGCAGAGCTCTGGTTTCAAGTAGCCCACTTGGCGGCATTGGACACACGCGTAAGTCCACGCATGCATGTGCTCATACTTGCTCGCAATGATGCATGTGCACTTTGACACGTGTGCCCGATTATGCGAACATGTATTAGCCTGACAGCCGGTACATCGTTCCTGACACCAGAAGCCGGTCCATGATGAGCAGCCAACACTGGAGCGTGTGTGGCGGGTAGGTCCCGCGTGGTGCGGCGGCAGTAAGTCCCAGATTGCCGAAAACAGTGTATTTCAGAACTAGCAACACAGTACAACCGGGCCTGGTGGGGATGTTCACCCGACCGGGGTCACTTACAACAGTTCAGCACAGAGACAGCAGTGACGTAGACTCAGGACTGCCACGAGGAGCAAAGTGCAGCCTGGCCGGTCCAACCCAATGGGGAGCTTCCTGAGAAGGTACACGTAGTCCCTACTCTTTCCCTACTCCACCGTAAACTTGACAGACGGGTGACCTGTCCCTACACTAGCCACCTACAAAAAGCGCGCTGAAACCTGGGGCCAGAGTCTTAAATAGACTCTGCTTGACCCAAGATGGCCCCCAGGGTCACATGGGATAACGGCATCCAAACGGAGCAGTGCCCTGTGTGACCGAGGAAGTCATTGAGAAACCCAGTTTCCCTCAATGGTCCTAGCGCCACCTGCAGTGGAGAAAAGAGACTGCACCTGCCTACAAGTGCATAAAGACAGGAAGCGGCACCACTGGGGTGGGGAAAGGGTGGTGCTGGCGAAATGCCTCATTTTTCCCCATTTTGGGGCTCTTCAGGATGGGTTTTTTGATGTCTGAGAAACTTCAGAGTGGAAAGGATTGTTGAGAGTTAAATCTGGTTGGTTGGAATGCGTAGCCATCCTTGATTCGCGATGTCCGAAGGTCTTGGGATACGAATGTTGTCATGTCTACAGATAGTGAAGCCAGTGCCGGGACAAGGCCACCCAGCACCCGGGGCAAAGATGTCAAACAGCCCCCCCAAATGTATGAGCATTGTGTGTCAGCAACCCCCCCCCACCCCCGCCAGAAAAAAAATATTTTTTAAGCAGTAATCTTTACACTTACCCTCTAAGCAAAAATTTCCCTTTTCAAGTCAAAATCCCCCCTCCCAGCTCAAATCCGCTCCCTCCCCAAATCTCCCCCTCCTAGCTCAAATCCACTCCCTCCCCAAATCTCCCCTCCTGTCACAAATCCTCTACCCCTCAAATTTCCCCCTCTGAGCATAAATCCTCTCCCTCCTCTAAATCTCCCCCCCCCTCCTAGCTCAAATCCGCTCCCTCCCCAAATCCCCCTCTCCCAACGCAAATCCCCCTCTCCCAGTGCAAATCCCCCTCTCCCAGCTCAAAATCCCCTCTCCCCCAGAGCAAATCCCTCTCTACTAGTGCAAATCCCTCTATCCCAGCGCAAATCCCTCTATCCCAGCGCAAATCCCTCTATCCCAGCTCAAATCCCCCTCTCTCCCAGTGCAAATCCCTCTCTACTAGTGCAAATCCCTCTCCATTAGCTCAAATCCCACTCTCCCAGCGCAAATCCCTCTATCCCAGCGCAAATCCCTTTTCCCAGTGCAAATCCCCCTCTCCCAGCGCAAATCCCCCTCTCCCAGCACAAATCCTCCTCTCCCAGCGCAAATCCCTCTCTTCTAGCAAATCCCCCTCTCCCAGTGCAAATCCCCCTCTCCCAGCGCAAATCCCCCTCTCCCAGCGCAAATCCCCCTCTCCCAGCGCAAATCTCCTCCTCCCAGCGCAAATCTCCCTCTCCAGCGCAAATCTCCCTCTCTCCGCAAATCCCCCTCTCCCAGTGCAAATCCCTCTCTACTAGCTCAAATCACCCCTATCCCAGCACAAATCCTCCTCTCCAGCGCAAATCCCCCTCTCCCAGCGTAAATCCCTCTCTTCTAGCAAATCCCCCTCTCCCAGCGCCAATCCCCCTCTCCCAGCGCAAATCCCCCTCTACCAGCGCAAATCCCTCTCTAGTAGTGCAAATCCCCTTCTCCCAGCTCAAATTCCCCCCTCTCCCAGCTCAAATTTCCCCTTCTCCCAGCTCAAATCCCCCTCTCTCCAGGGCAAATCCCCCTCTCCCACCTCAAATTCCCTTCTCCCAGCACAAATCCCCCTCTCCCAGCGCAAATCCCCCTCTCCCAGCGCAAATCCCTCTCGCAGCACAAATCCCTCTCCCAGCACAAATCCCCCTCTCCCAGCGCAAATCCCCCTCTCCCAGCGCAAATCCCCCTCTCCCAGCGCAAATTCCCCTCTCCCAGCGCAAATCCCCCTATTCCAGCACAAATCCTCCTCTCCCAGCGCAAATCCTCCTCTCCCAGCGTAAATCCCTCTCTTCTAGCAAATCCCCCTCTCCCAGCGCAAATCCCCCTCTACCAGCGCAAATCCCCCTCTCCCAGTGCAAATCCCCCTCTCCCAGCGCAAATCCCCTTCTCCCAGCTCAAATTCCCCTTCTCCCCAGCTCAAATTCCCCTTCTCCCAGCTCAAATTCCCCCTTCTCCCCCAGCTCAAATCCCCCTCTCCCAGCGCAAATCCCCCTCTCCCAGGGCAAATCCCCCTCTCCCCACCTCAAATTCCCTTCTCCCAGCGCAAATCCCCCTCTCCCAGCACAAATCCCCCTCTCCCAGCGCAAATCCCCTCTCCCAGCGCAAATCCCCTCTCCCAGCACAAATCCCCCCTCCTCTCCCAGCGCAAATTCCCCTCTCCCAGTACTAATTCTCCCCACAATTTCCCCCCCCTAGAATAAATTCCCCCAATCATCCCTGCTATAGCACAAATCCTTTTCCTCCAAATCTCTCTTTCTTAACATGAATCCACCTTCCTAGTAAAAATCCCCCCCTCCCAAATCACCCCTTATAGCACAACCCCCCAATTGGCGCCCTGGGGCCAGCCGCCCCTCCTGTCCACCCCTTGTCCCGGTCCTGACTGGAAGGGTGGGGACCCGGATGTAGGGCGGGGCTGGGGGGTGGGGCGATTGTTGATATTTAATGAGACATTTGCAGTCGTTTTACACAACGCCCTACCCCAGGCCCAGAGTCCGCGGTCACTCCAGTCGGGGTCTACATCTGCCTGCTGAAACATTTCAAAAGGAGTGTCTGTTGAATGTTCTATCCCTCCCAGCTACAAACCGGCTACTAACGGCACCTCTTGTCTTCTCAGCCTCCAGACATGGACGCCCTGTCCAATCAGCTGCCCCCGTTTTCTGCTGCCTGGGAGGAGGAGGAGGGGACAGAGGAGGAGGAGCTGGCAGTCAGTATCGAGGAGGGGGAGTTAGGTGTGTGTGACCACCAAATTGTTCAAAGTCGCCCCACCCTCCTGATTTGTATTAGAAGAAGTTCATTGGACGACATTTTCTGAAAGTAAACTTCATAGGAAATCAGAGCAGAGAAAACCCGGGGTGAGGGATACAATACGGATTTGATTGCATTGTGGATGTAGTGGACCAGTTCCTTCAATATACAGAAAAGATAATTGTTACCCCTGAAGACGAGATCTGTATAGTTCCCAGAACACAGAGGACGGGGCGATGGAAAGACAAGAACACCGATGTACACTGACTGAATATTGGAAACCCTTGGGTGCAATTTTCCCCCGCTGACACCAATGAGGCGCTATTCCTCTTACTGACACCAATGATGGGGCACTATTCCCCTGCGACCCTCAATGTGGGGGAACATTCCTCCCCCTGATACCAATATGGGGCACATTCCTCCCCGACATCAAAGATGGGCACATTCCCCCCCGGACACCAAAAAATGGGGCGCTATTCATCTCCGACACCAAAGATGGAGCACTAATTTCCCCCCCACTGACACCAATGAGGGGGCCTATTTTCCCCCCACTGACACCAAAGATGGGGCACTATTCCCCAATGACACCATGATGGGGGACATTCCCCCCACGACACCAAAAGTGGGGGACTATTCCCCCCAAAGAACCCAAAAAGGGGGCACTATTTCCCCCACTGATACCAAGATGGGGGACTATTCCTCCCACGAACAATGTGGGGCCAAATTCTCCCACTGTACAATGAGGGGGACTATTCCTCCACTAAACCAATATGGGGGCCCATTTCCCCCCAAAAAACCAAAGATGGGCACTATTCCTCCCCCTGACACCAATGATGGGCA